ACCCTCAGCCTTTCCTCATAAGACCTTCCCTCCATACCAGGCAACATCCTGGTAAATCTCCTCTGCACCCTTTCCAATGCTTCCACATCCTTCCTATAATGCGGTGACCAGAACTGTACGCAATACTCCAAGTGCGGCCGCACCAGAGTTTTGTACAGCTGCAACATGACCTCATGGCTCCGAAACTCAATCCCTCTACCAATAAAACCTAACATACTGTACGCCTTCTTAACAACGCGATCAACCTGGGTGGCAACTTTCAGTGATCTATGCACATGGACACCGAGATCTTTCTGCTCATCCACACTACCAAGAATCTTACCATTAGCCCAGTACTCTATTCCTGTTACTCCTTCCAAAGTGAATCACCTCACACTTTTCCGCATTAAACTCCATTTGCCACCTCTCAGCCCAGCTCTGCAGCTTATCTATGTCCCTCTGTAACCTACAACATCCTTCTGCACTATCCACAACTCCACCGATTTTGGTGTCATCCGCAAATTTACTAACCCATCCTTCTACGCCCTCATCCAGGTCATTTATAAAAAAGAGGAGGGCAGGGAAACTCACAGGGAAACCCTCTCAAAGCACTGATATACACATGATAAGTTGAATGGCTTCCTGGTGTGTCACATGAGTCTGTGATATGAAATATCAGATGAAGATGGTGTTGTGATGGTGCTACCAAATGCAGGCAGGGATTGATGCCTTGGGAAGCTCAGGCTCTCGGGAAATGTTCTGCACAATGTTCAGAAACATTTGTGATTCCTCAGATACTGAAAGAAAAACAAAAATTGCTGGAGAAACTCAGCAGGTCTGGCAGCATCTTTGTGGGAAAGGAACAGTAAACATTTTGAGTTCAGTGACTCTTCTTCAGAACAATTCTGATGAGGAGTCACTGGACTCGAGCATCCAAAAAGGAGTTGCATAAATACCAAAAAGAGACTTGGGAAAGAGAAGGGCAGGGGAACTCACAGGGAAAGGTTCAGAGTTTCAGTTAGTGCTGATGAATTCTCAGCCAACAGGAGCACATCGAGGGGGAGAGAGGAAAGAGTTTTCCATTTAGAAAGAAGTAGCTGCATCTCTTACCAGCACTACCCACTGCGGGTACGCAGTTCACGAGTCATTCGACAAAGCTCACATGGACCACAGCACATCAACATTATGGCATCATCACAAATTGTTCCCTGTAACACACGACAGAAATTACATATATGTAAGAAATCTTTCCTGCTAAAAACACATTGAAAACATAAAATGTAGAGGATATTCCACATTCACCAACATCTCAACAATGAGGAAGTTACCAAAAAGATTGATAATGGCAGAGCAATAGAAGTTGTTTATTTAGATTTTAGTAAAGCCTTTGACAAGGTGCCACATGGTAGATTAATTAGTAAAGTTTGATCACATGGGTGAGCTTGCCAATTGGATACATAATTGGCTTAAATGGCAGGAGACAGAAAGTAATGGTGGAGAGTTGTTTTTTGGACTGGGGGTCTGTGACCAGCGGTGTTCCATAGGATTTGGTTCTTGGTCCTCTTTTGTTTGTCATTTATATAAAATGATCTGTATGAGAATATAGGAGGCATGGTTAGTATGTTTGCAGATGACACCAAAATTGGCGGCATTATAGATAGTGAAGAAGGTTTTCTAAGGTTACAAAGGGATCTTGATCAAATGGGTCAATGGGCTGAAAAATGGCAGATGGAGTTCAAACTGGATAAATATGAGGTATTGCATTTTGGTACAACAAGCGAGGGTAGGGCTTATACAATTAATGGTAGGGCCTTGGATAGTGTTGTAGAACAAGAGGGACCTACACAATTCTTTGGAGTTTGCATCACATATAGACAGGGTGGTTAAAAAGGCATTTGGCACACTTGCCTTCATTTTTCAGTCCTTTGAGTAAAGGAGTTGTGAAGTTAGGTTAAGGTTGTACAGGACATTGGTGAAGCCTCTTCTGGAATACTGTGTCCAGTTCTGGTCGCTCAGTAATAGGAAGGACATTATTAAGCTGGAGAGGGTTCAGAAGGGATTTACCAGGTTGTTGCCGGGTAAGGAAGGTTTAAGTTATAAAGAAAGGTTGGATAGGCTGGGACTTTTTTCACTGGAGTGCAGGAGATTGAGAGGCGACCTTATATAAGTTTATAACATAATGAGGGGCATAGATAGAGTTAATGGTAGTTGCCTTTTCCCTGGGTTGGGGGATTTCAAGACAAGGGGCACATTTTTAAGATGAACGGAGAGAGATTTAAAAGAGACATAAGAGGCAAACTTTCTACACAGAGCGTGTTCACCTGTGGAATGAACTTCCTGAGGAAGTGGTGGATGCGGGTACAATTATAACAATTAAAAGACATTTGGATAGATACACGAATAGGAAAAGTTTGGAGGGATATGGGCCAGGAGCAGGCAGGTGGGACTAGTTTAGTTTGGGATTATGTTCGGCATGGACTGGTTGGACCGATGGGTCTGTTTCCATGCTGTATCACTCAATGACTCTATAATAGGTAATTCTTCAACAATCTCTTGGACAGTTACTACTAGTGGCCTTTCAACTGGAGGAGGCATCGCAATCCCCATTTCTAATAATAACAGAAAACATTGGAATGGCTCATCATGTTTGGCAGCATCTGCAAAGAGAGAATAAGACTGAAAGTTCTAAATCCAATGTGACTTTTTTTCCATCTTATAAAGCTGCTTCTGGCTGCTGTGTAAACACACAGTGTCCAGAGTCACAGAGTCATAGAGTCATACCAGCGTGGAAATTGACCCTTCAGTCAAACTCGTCCATGCCGACCAGACATCCCCATCTGACCTAGTCCCATTTGCCTGCATTTGGCCCATATCCCTCTAAACCCTTCCTATTCATATACCCATCCAGGCATCTTTTAAATGTTGTAATTGTACCAGCCTCCACCACTTCCTCTGGCAGCTCATTCCATACATGCAGCACCCACTGAGTAAAAAAGTTACCCCTCAGGTCCTTTCTAAATCTTTCCCCTCTCACGTTAAACCTATGCCCTCTAGTTCAGGACTCCCCCACCTTGGGGAAAAGACCTTGGCTATTCACCCTATCCATGTCCCCCATGATTTTATAAACTTCTATAAGGTCACCCCTCAGCCTCCGGTGCTCCAGGGAAAATAGCCCCAGCCAACTCAGTCTCTCCCTTTAGCTCACACTCTCCAACACCAGCTACTCCCTTGTAAATCTTCTCTGAGCCCTTTCAAGTTTAACAATATTGGGTCACTGCTCAGTGATGGGGAACAGGCACCCAGACAGATTCCCCCTTTCCATGAACTCTTCATGAACCAGTAAGTCTCGCGGATACTTCCTGGCAGATTAGATGAGGATATCACAGAGAGCAGACAGGTTCAGGAACAATCACTTTGTGGGAAATGGGTTTGGCTGGCTGTCGATATCAAAATCCTCTCCTTCACTTCATTCTATCCATGAAACATGACACTTTTCATCAACATTTGATGGCCATCAGGGTCAAAATGCTGTCTCCCACATACATCGACTTCAATAGGCAATCTTCTCAAAACCACTCAATCACCCTCATCCTCCCAAAATACTTTCTTCCCCAAAATATCCACTTCCTCCCAAAACACCCTCATCTTTTCCAAACAACCTCATCCTCTCAAAATATCGTCCTCCTCAAAATACCCTCATCCTCACAAAATACTCTTATCTTCACAAAACACCCTCATCCTCCCAAAACACCTTCACCCTCCCCAAAATACCCTTGTACATCCTCAATACACCCTCAAACCTCCTCAAAACCTTCATTCTTCTTACAATGCCCTTAAAGATTCCCAAAATGCTCTCACCTTCCTTAAAATACCCTTTTAACTCTTCAAAATGCCCCAAAACAACCCAAAAATGCCCTCAAATCTCCCCCAAATTCACTCAACCCAATCCACCTACATTCCTCTTTTCATCCTTCAATCCATCCTACTCACTATGTCCTCCAGCCCATTTGACACAGCTTTTCACTGCATTCCTCAATCATAGTAACCCACATTCTCAATGTAACATGAAGCTGCATTCGTACTGTGTCCTAAACTAAGAAACATAATCTCAGGGGTCCAGAGCGGCGTCCTCAAAAGATTAAATACTAAATCAAAGAAGAAAGTAGATATGGCAACCAAAACTTTCGTCAAATGGAAGAAAGAGTGAGAGGGGTATCTTAAAGGAGTGAAGGAGTGGAGACAGCATGGTTTTGGGAAGGAATTCTCGATAATGGGCCATAGAGACTACAGCCATGGCTGACAATCAAGGCACAAAGGGAGGAAGGTGACACACAGAAGACTAGTGAAAAAGAAGAGTGTGTTTTACTGGGATTGTCAAGCAAGAGGAGATTCTAAAATAGAGAGACATGTAGCCATGAACAGATATAATGATGAGGTTTGGACATTGGGGATGACAAAGAAAGGGTCATGAGGGAGCAGGACTTGATACAGGCAACAGGAGTCTGAGGGAACAGAAGTTTACACAGGGCAGGGAATGGGAAAATAGAAGCTGTTGATTCTGTAGGTGGTAAAAGTATGGCTGAGCGATTCTGCAGGAGATAGGGGAATGCTGATGATGATGATGGGCCATCTTTGTTATGGAGATCCTCAGTCTCTATAGGGCGGCACAGTGGCTCAGTGGTTAGCACTGCTACCTCACAGCGTCAGGGACCCAGACTCTCGGTCTTTCTGTGCCCAGACCCTTAATCCCTCAGTGAAACAACTGAGTGGATGGCCAAAACTTAGTGACAAACAGGCCCAAACATTCCATGCTGTTGTTGGAATTTCAGCCTGTTACATGAAGCTTCTTACTCTGTCGTTCAACTTATTTCTTCGTTTTTCTGCCTTTATTTTCTATGTTTTGGATAATTTTCCTGTGTTTCCAGATGGTGCTGGAGAGAGGTGCCACTGTACAACACTTTTCACTTTACTTTGTAACAGTAAACACAATTATAAATCAATCAAATAAATAAATAAATGTTTTTTCTGACCTCTCTGTCCCTCCAGATGTGGGTAGATTATTGCACACCTCCTCTACCCTGTAAGTGTGAAGGTTAGTATCACCCTCCCATTCTCTTCATGTCTTCATCAGTTCACACTCAAACTAAAACCCCAAATTGGGCTTTCACCTTCCGCTAAAGAAATTAACTAAGTGACTTTTAAAACATTAAAATTAAAGTGAAGCATAGTAAATGTTCACTGGAGTAATGGCTTCAACGGTCAGCTAGACGGGACAAGGAGAGCTTGTCTCCCCAGTGATATTGGGAGGAGTAAGCTGGGACTGCAGACAATATGCATGTGGTGTGAGAGAGACAGGGGATGGAGCTAGCCTATCAAATGATTCTGATTAGCTTTGTGCTACAATGAATAGCTCTAGCATGTTAGGCTCATTAAGGCATGGCTGAAATCCCCATGAAAGACAGGAAGCGAGAACAACAATTTGAACCAAGGTTTAAAAGACAATTAACAATTTAAAAAGTACACCTGTTGGGAGACAAATCAAAGACTTGCAGATGCTGAAAGTAACAAAAACAGAGGTTGCTGGAGAAACTGGCAGCATCTGTGGAGACAGAAGCAGAGTTAATGTTTCAAAATCAGGGACCCTTCTTCCGAATCTGGGAGAGGAACTGGGGAACAGGGACCTGTTGAGAGATTGATGGAAATTCAGGGATTGGTGGAGAAAGCTTGTTTGATGATTGGTGGAGAAGGTTCATTCAGTGGTTGGTGGAGAAGACTTCCTCAGGGATTGGCGAAGGAAGCTTTTTTCAGTGATTGGTGGGTTTGGGTTAGATGCTGTTGCTGGAAATGAAGACCTTAGTCTGGCCCTCAGCATTCCACTGCCGATGTTATTTGCCAATTGTTGTTCCAGAAGCCGTCAGGGGTCAGAGGTCATTGGGGGCTCAGAGGTGGTCTGGGGGTGGAGGTGAACGGGCACTGCAGTCAGCGCTTGACTCTAAAATAGTTTATTTGACCTCAGGATTGGTACAGGCTAGACCGTGGGTGGTGGAAGAGTGTGAAGAGTTGCTTCACTTACCTCAATATTGTAGGAAAGTCTCATGTGAGTTCTCAGAGCAATCAGACTCCCCGGAACCAGTGGCAGGCAGCAATTCTCTCCATAAATGTGGGCCAAATGACAGCCCAGAATCTGGGGGCACAAAGCACCTAGGATACCTGTGGGTTGTACAATCCATATTTAATACGCATCATGACCAAAGATTTTTATTGTCTTTCCTGAAACCGGAATCACCACATTTTACAGCCCTACTCAGGAGACAGCAGTTTGTAGATGTCTCTCCACCTGGATATGTGGAATGTGAACACAAAATCCAGAGGACTGTGCTAGTGTTTACAGAGTGTCCAGAGGAGCGTGCCAGTGTTTACAGAGGATCCAGAGGAATGTTACATGAGATGCAAACAGGCTATTTCTAGGACCAAAGGGCTTAATCTTAAAATAAGGGATTGCACATTTAAAACAAAGGTGGGGAGGAATTTCTTCTCTCAGAGGGTGGTGAATCTGTGGAATTCCTTCCCAAAGAGGACTGGCGAGGTTGGGCCATTAAGAGTCTTCAAGACTAAGTTCAATTGGAGTTTATGATCAGCCATGGTGTCATTGAATGGCAGTCAAACTTGATTAGCTGAATGTCCTACTCCTGTTCCTATTTCTTATGATCTTGACATATAGGAGCTTGTGTGCAATGTCATACACAATCTTTAAATCCAAGCAGGAGCAGGGGCAGAAATCACAGGGCTTGAAGCTGCTCCTAGCACAAAGCCCATCCTCCACTGCTGCCACATGCATTGTCCACTGCCCTGAACCCCAAAAGTGACCGTCCCCGCATTGGGCACAGCAGGCTTCCCAGTGCTCTGGGCCCTAGTTATTGAGCCCTGATGTACCCTCCTCAATACAGGATGGGATGGCCTGTCTAGGGAGTGGGTTCCTCTCTGGGTCCACAGTGAGGTGTTATTGATTGCTAACGGCACTGTGGAAAAAGCAGGAATTCTGAAAAACTCTCTGACTTTACCTAGCCACTGGTCCACTGAGATGCTGAATTCCTGGTTTTGTGGAGAGGTTTAGCAGGTACATGATGAATTTACACAGTTACAGGGACTGTCTATGTGGCAACAGAAAACAATCCCCCTCCGAGGGGTTTGAAACAGTTGTTAGTGAGTGAGGGGCTCAAGCTAAGTGCAAAGTTTGGGAATAATGGGTCTCTTGTTTTGGAGATGAGGAAGAATTTCTTCTCTCTGAGGATTGTTTGCCTTTGGAATTCTCTTCTCCAGAGACTAGTCAAGGTTGGGATGTTGAATATATTCAAGGCTGAGTTCAACAAATCTTTCTAATTGATAAAGGATATAGGGTTGTTGGGTTATTATGGGGACAGGGTGTGCAGACAGGAAAGGCCACAATCAGATCAGATCCTAATGAATGGACAAGCCGGCCTGAAGGGTCGAACAGCCTCACCCTGCTTTGACTGCTACTGTTTGTCATACCTCCTTAACCCCAGCTGAACCTCTGCCCTGTTCCTCGCCCTGACACTCTTCAGGGCTGCCTTCATTCCACGACTCACTGTGACCCCTTCTCAACGACTTGCAACTCCAGCCCCCCAGTTGCTCAGACCACATCCCTCCCTGTATCCTGACACCTTGCCACTTGTTCTGCTCTGCCCCTGATGCTGGTACTTACAGACAGGTATGTTGCCAGCCAGGTCACAGATTCCTGAGCTCCATGAGCCTGTTCCGATCAGTGGGCGATGTTCCATAATGGGTTGCTGGGTGATAACACCTGGCAGGCTCATACTCCTAACAGCAAGAGGTAAGGCTGTGATAGTACAGCGAATGGGCTGGCTGTGGAAAGAACACACATCATCACTGGCCGAACCACACTGCCTGAAAACCAACTCATAACACACACTCCTGTACAATCTGTCACAATCAGGCACAGATTCACAGAGTCACCAGGAACTTTGGCACAACAAGATAAAGTGAAAAATGCAAGAACAGTATGAATGAACCAATCAGAGAGCATCACAACCTTGGTCAGCGATTTAAAGAGACAGAATGATTCACATGTGAGTGCATGAGGTTTGTTAGGGGAGTGCGTCAATGACTCACTGGGAGATGGGCCGATAGTTCATTAGGGAATGGGTCAATGGTTTGTTGGGAGAGCATGGAGAATTGAAAGGAAGAATGTGAAAGAGAGAAAGACCATTGCTTTGCTGCTGTTTTCTGCTCCTAATTCCTTCAGCTGTATGTTCCACAATTTAATGAGTTCCTAACTCTCACTATCTTTGTCTTCCAACAGAGGAACTCCATTAGGTCCCGCTCATGAAAATTTGAAAATTCATTTTGATTACATCAGCAGACACCTTCTTTGTCTCCAGAATGTATTGTCCCTTTACCCATTGCTCCCAATTCACCAACCAGTCCTGTTGTCTTTCCCTGGGTTTCCTGGTTTTTGTTTCCAGGTTTTATTGCAGAGGCTAAAACTAAACATAATAGCCTGGATTTTCCATTGGCCAGTTAATCATTTCTGAAGTGTACTTCAGGTTTGTACATGGTAACCCTGAAGGATCTCTGTCATAGCACACTCTGAAGGACCTGCCTGGAAAATCAATGATTCTGATGGACAATTCATCTATGCCTGGCACCCTCAGACAATATCCATTTAAACTGGAGAATTCACACAGTTCTGCTGGAGTTAAGTAAACAGTTTCTCAGGAAAAGTTAGAATATTGAATACCTGGTCTAACTCTTAACTATTCAACTGAGTCAATACTAAGTGCACAAACCCCTAACTATACCTTCCTCAGACCCCTTGCAGCCCCAGCACCTTGATCTGACACCAGCCTATCACCAGTTTGTGGATGACACAAAAGCAGGAGGAAAAGGCAAGTGAAGAGGATGACACAAAGAGGGACACAGGGATATAGACAGGTTAACCAAATGGGCAAAAACTTAGCAGATGGAATATAATGTTGGAAAATTGTGAGATTGTGTATTTTAACAGGAGGAAACAGAAGAGCTTAATATTATTAATAAGACATGGGAGTACTCAATGAATGACAGGATACTAGGAAGTTCAGAGGAACAGAGGGTTCTTGGGGTGTTTGCAGATCCCTGAAGATGGTAAGGCAAGTTAATAGGATAAATAAGAATGCCCACACGACACTTGCCTTTATCAGTTATTCAGTCATGCAACATGGAAACAGACCTTTGGTCTAACTCAACCATGCCGAACAAGTTTCCCAACCTAAACTAGTCTCATTTGCCTACATTTGGCCCATATCCTTCTAAAACTTTCCTGTTCATGGACCTATTTGAGATGTCTTTTAAACGTTGAAACTGTACCTGCATCTACCACTTTCTCTGGCAGTTCATTCCACATATGAACACTCTCAGTAGATTAAAAGAGCAGGAGTTCATATTCAAGTTGTACAGGATTTTGGTTAGACCACAGCTGGACTACTGGGTGCAGTTCTGGTCTCCACACTGTAGGAAGAATATGATTGCACTGGAGGAGTTGCAGAAGGGATTCACCAGGATGTTACCTGGGATGGATCAGTTTAGCTCTGAAGAGAGGCTGGATAAACTCGGGTTGCTTTCTTTGGAACAGAGAGGATTAGGGTGGGGTCTTGATTCGGGTGTATGAGATTATGAGGGGTGTTCCCCTTAGTTGAATAATAATGGGGGCATAATTTTAAGGTGAAAGGCAAGAGGTTTAGAGAGGATTTGAGGACATCTTTTTCATCCAGAGGGTGGTGGGGTTCTGGAATGCAGTGCCAGGCAGGGTAGTAGAAATAGAAAACACACCTTTCAAAAAAGTACTTGGAATTTCATAACATTCAAGCTATAGACCAAGTGCTGGAAAGTGGGTCTAGTGTAGATTTACAGTAGTTCTTTGTTGATGCAGACTCAGTGGGCTGTACTGTATGATTTTATGATTCAATGATTATTTAAAAGGAGAAAGACTGCAGAAATCTGCAGTATAGAGAAATCTGGGAGTACTCATCCTTTAATTACAAAAAACTAGCTTCCAGGTTCAGCAGATAATTAGGAAATGGAGTGTTGACCATTATTTCAAAGGGAATGCAGTATAAAACTGGGGAATTCTTGCAAAGTTGTACATGGCACTAGTCAAACGACAGCTAAAATATTGTGAACAGTTTTGGTCCCTTTATCTAAGGAAAGATATACTAGCATTAGGGGCAGTTGAGAGAAGATTCAACCAGATTGATCCTGGGCATGGAGGGATTGGTTTATGAGGAGATGTTCAGTTGGCTGGGCTTGAACACATTGGAATATAGAAAAATGAGAGGTGACCATACTGAAATGCGCAAGGTTCTTAGGGGACTTGATGGTGTAGATACAGAAAAGTTGTTTCCCCTTGTGGGAGTCTACGATCAGAGGGCACGATCTCAGTGTAAAAGACATGCATTTAAGACAGAGATGAGGAGGAATTTCTTCTCTCTGAGGGTAGTGAATCTTTGGAATGCTGCCATTAAGAATATTCAAGGCTGTGATAGACAAATTTTTAACCAGTAAGGGAATCAAGGGTTATGAAGACAAGGCAGGAAAATAGAGTTGAGGATTATCAGATCAGCTATGATCTCATTGAATGGGGGAGCAGCCATTATGGGCCAAATGGCCTACTTCTCCACATACATTTTATGGCTTCCCCATTCCCCCCCTCCCCCCCAACCTCAGGATTGAACTGCCTTGCTGCCAAATTTGACCTCTGCACCTGACCTGATATATCCCACCTACACCCACCCACCCTATCAATCCATCACTTACATGCCCTTCCTAGCAACCTATGAACCTGGCACCCTTAGCACCTTACTCCCAACCCACTGGGCCCCCTACCAACTGGGTATTCTTCTAACCTGGCATACTACACCTACCCACCTGGCACCTTTCCTTCCTGGTACTGTACCCCCTACTCACCAAGCACCTCCACCCTCTTCCCATCTGGCATCCTACCCTCTCAGCATCACCCTCACACTTACCTTTTGTACTTACCATTTGACAACAGCTGTCAAAGAGGTTGTTTATAATGCTGGACATTTAAATGACAGAATATAATTCAGCTGTGTAAAGGGAGACATGGTTAAGGTTAGAGTTAGGTTAACCATATCACCTTTCCCAGCAAGGGACTTGTCTGGATGGAAGTATGGGTCCACATTTCTGGAGGAAGCCTGAGCAGGATCTCCTATCAGAAATAAGGAGCTCTTTCATGTCATTAAAAAAACACAGTGGAGTGGCAATCTGAGTGAGATTACAATTCCTCAGAAAATCCCAGCTCTGATCCCAAAGCCAGGGAGAATACAAGCTCAATTCTCAGATCCGTATCATTAGCAGCAATTATTTAGCTATCTCCTGTTTGGTGAAAGAGACTATATGAGGAAGAAGTAAGCAACATAAAGCCAAACCACCAAACCACAAATTACAGGAAGTACAGCATTGCAAACTGTGCACCAAACAACCATCAGAAACAGGATACACATTAAAGCTAAAACCTGAAAGAACTGTGGATGCTGTAAATCAGGAACAAAAAAAGAAGTTG